GTTTTATCTTGTTTTTTTTTTCATTATTTTCGATTCCTTGTACGTACGTAACAATCAATTCCTAAGAATTTAAGTTAATAAGTTGTGGCCAAAGAATTACTTAAGAGCTTTTGCTACATTAGGCATGATTCATGCCTAATGTAAGAAAATACGTAAGTACTTATTTTCACTTATTTGATATTTAGTTACCTATGTAAGCGAGATTCAAGCAAAGGGCTTTCGAATTCTTTCTGTATTCTACCATTCTATTTTGTGGTTATTGTACGTACCTACCTACTTTTTATGATCGGTACCTAACCCAGGTAATATTTTTTTATTGCCGTAGTAAGTAAACTAATTTAATAACCATCAATAATACTAATGCAATAATCATAATATTAGTAAGGAATAATAATACAACTTATTGGGTCAAAATGCCACACAACCACAGACTACAACACACAACCACGCTAATAACCTAATTTCAAACTAGAGAATTCCCTGTGGGGCCAAGAAATCATGATCGAAAGAGAGAAAGAGTGTACTCGTCTCGCATCACTGATTTACTCGTGTCTATTCGAATAGCACAAACTCTGCTTAGAATAAATCTGACAGCCGAGTTGGTAACCTCACGCTCTAGATAACAATGATAACATTGGAAGAAAAAATAGATTCTACCAAATTCCTACAAAAGATAATGCCCTTAATTGACTCGTAAGGCCTTAGAGGATGGAAAAAATAAGTAAGGCACACGATTTCTTTTTAATCTGTGGTAAAACATACTTCATATTACTATGCATCATGGCGTTTGTCGCCTTTTCCTTCAAAACAAAGAAAAGATATATGAAGAGGCTATATTATTATAGTAGAACCTTTGCCTACCCAAATAAATATATGATAAACGCTTTAGGGATGATAACCATTCGCTTTCTTTATTTTTTTCCATCTCAAGTTTTCCATCAGCAACTTACAAAAATTATTCTGTCATTTTTTTTAGTACAATTTTTGGCTTGGATACAAGTTTTTGAGCTAGGTCTTTATTTAGTTTTCAGGATCCTCAGTAAGTATTTTCTATTATGTTTTTAACGTAGAATGGCGAAAAGAACTTTGTGTTTTTTAAATAGTATTTTAAGCGGTGGGAGTCATTAATTCATTTTCACATAATTCACTTGCCAATAAAAGACGTTGAATTTTGAACACGGTCTGTTAGATATTTCTTCTTGTATGCTTCCATACCATTTGCTTTTTATATTTCTTTCACTTTTCCATAATGTAAAAGATTTAAAATTTTCAATCAAGGATATGACAGTCTTAAGTGAAAATTTAAAATCTTTTAACGTCCTTTCACTTCAAATACCCGCCATTTTTTGCCTAATATTACGTGAAACTAAAGATGTGGAAAAGCATTCCATTTCTATCACCGTGACTATCGTTCCAGTCCAGATACAAAAAAATCACACTGACAAATCACCGTGATTTTGTCACGGTTGCCATTTACATCACAATGTACGGTTTTGGCAAGCGACAACTTTCTGATAGTCGATATAAATAGAATAATTTAAATTATTAGTAATTTATTACTCACTTTAAAGTAACATTAAATTCCATTTGAAAAGTTGATCCGCAATGACCTTCACAGTTTCACAGGCATAAGACTGTCGCATTATTCGTTAATAAGTTCATTATTTTGGATCAAATTTGTAGTATTATTTTATTTGTTTTTACAATATCTAATTATTTCTTGATTAATAATTAGAATTTAAAAATAAAAGAAAACTACAATGAATAGCGCAGTCGCGAGTCTCTACAGCACGGAGATCATGATTTCGTTTGTAAAATACGTCGTATGTCATTAGTGGAAGTTCTGTGTGATTAATTTGGAACGTCTGTCGTTCCTTCTAAATAGTCACAATGATACTATTTAACGACTGATCACTGTGATTTTTTTCATCGTGACGTTATTTATCGCTCACCTCTATGTGAAACAAAAAATACGTAAACAAAACTGTTACCTATTCATTTTTCGAAAATGAAACTAAAATATTAATGAAGTTTAGTGGCGTTCTTGTTGATTTGCCATTGAAATTCACCGGTCAAATGCCGAGTAATAAACGCGTGTCTTCCATAATCTTGACGTTGGCTGAATCATCGATTGTATACATTGTCGCACTATATTATAGGTACTTAATATTAAAAATTATGAATTGCAGTTTCAGTCTCAAGGTCGTATTCTAGAACTCTACTCAATGCTCAAGTCAGGATTTGAGTATGGTTTAAAGCACTCGAAATCATACTCAAGTACCTGCCATTAGGGTCGTATTTCCAGTGCTTGAAATCAGACATGTCTTTCATTTATTTTACAATCCTTGTATAAAATCGTAGCGCATTTGGTTCCGCACGACTGTAGACGCATAACATTGATATCTATTTCTAATTTATTTTGAATCAATAAATTTTAGTCCAACCATAGTCCAACCATAATTTGAGACACAATAAGTATGTTATGGTTTAAGTTGATTAAAGAGTTCTTTATAATACGTTTTTGTTTGCCATTCTAAATGGAGACATAAATATGACGGGTATATTCTCAGACAGATTCTGGCAGATTTTCAGCCAGTGTAGGGCAGATCTATTCTCCTCTACTACTCTATTTTCCTGATGGTCACACTACCGTTGAGTGCTGACCAGTGGTGCCAGATTAGGCGATTTTTCGCCTTTTAGGCTAATTCGAGGGGTCGTGTGGCGACTAAAAAGTGATCGGCAATTCGGCGATATTTAGGCTATGTTTGAAATAGGAAAAGGCGATTTTTGGCTACTTAATAAAATATCTGGGGAATTACAAACTAGATCGGGGATTTTGTGGGGAATGGAGTTGTAAAACAACTCATTTGGGGGTTTGATCAGTTCTACGTGTGGGAAATTGGCGGAATAAGAGAGTTCATATTCCCCAATCTCCGGCAGCAAGTAGAATTATAATATTGTTTTCCTTGATTTTTAGGAATTTTATGGCTTAGGCGAATGCCGATAGTCGCAATACTTAACACAATTAACTTCGAAAAGTCTGGCAACACTGGCGCCGACGTCGGCGCAAGCGCTGAGAGAGAAGATATCTTTCTAATTTGTGGAGTGAGTGTTACACGCACATCTGAGTGGTCGTACGGCACGTTTCGTAAAAAATCGTTACAATGTCGAAATCGCGTCATTATTGTTCAGTAGATGGGTGTACAAGTAAGAAACCAGACAATAGATTATCATTTTTTTCATTACCGAAAGAGGAAGAAAGGTAAGTGTTAAACTTGTGTTTTTACTATAATCTCTTTATTTTCGATTCTTAATGCCATCAATTTCTAATAATTAAAATAATTAGTTGTGATCAACGAATTATGAGTTTTTCAAATATTTAAAATCATGCCTAATGTAAGAAAATACGTATTTATTTTCAATTATTTTATGTATGCGAGATTGAAGCTACACTAACATGCAACAATAGACAAATTTAGAGAAGGGGAAAAATGTATGTATCATATTATTAAATTTTAAACACATTTGTAACACTTTAGGGGTTACGAAAAATTAAACATTGTACTGAGCTACTTAAGATCCACTTTTGTTCACTTCCCATTGATAAATAAATGTCCGTGGGAACAGATAAACATCTACATTCTCTTGAATCTACGTATGAGATGATGTAGATAAACATCTATATCATCTCATACGTAGGCATCCTAGACATTTCAATCAAGTTTAGTCACATTTTTTCTCGTTAAAACACTGTATGTAGCTTATTTTCAGTTCACGAACACTTTCGATTGTTTCGTCAACTGGACATGAAGTTTCGTTTTTTTTGTTCCTAAAAGGAACCGGTTCTTTTTAATTTTTGAAAAAAAATCAAAAACTTTGGCATTTATTATGCAAATGCATTAATGAATAATAAATTAACCTCTATCCTTCTAACTTAATGATTGGTAACTTTAGTTATTCTTTGGAAGGACTGTACATTACCATCGCACGATTTGAGGGGTGGGAGGGGGGTGGGGGAAGGGGGGAGGGGAGGGAACCCTTCGTGCAAAGTTTCAAAGTTAGGAAGTTAATAGTTTTCGAGATATTAATTTTTGAAAATTCGAAAAAAATAACCTCAAAAAATCATGTTTTCGCACCAAAGAGCGGGGTATACCCCTCCCCCCGAACCCCAAGCGGGAAAAACCCACCCCCAACCCCACTTCCTGTGTTATATGAAAAACTAAATTTAAACCTAAAACCAGGCAAAAACGCAAAATCCTAATTGATGCATACATCAAACAGTAAACAACAACAAACAACATGGCGTTCTTTACGCGTTTCGTTATTTTTTTGCAACAAAAAATAATTGTTCAAAAATAAAAGCTTACATACTAATTATAGTAAATTTCTATGTTAAATTTACAATTACGTATTAATTTGTGCTGTTTAATTCATTACTGCGGAAAATTTTTGAAATAACGCAAAAAAATAAACATTTTCGTAAAAAAAATGAACGAAACGCCGCGCGCGCGGTTTTTCGTTCATTTTTTTTTACGAAAATGTTTATTTTTTTGCGTTATTTCAAAAAAAATACTGCAACAACCAAACGCTGTGCTTTCCTAACCTATAAAACCTGTTTCCTATCATATATTTTCGAATATTTCAATAATTTTTATTATCAAAACTACGAGTTTCCTAAAGCTAATATTTTAGGATTACACTGCTAACTATGTAATCTATTCACCATATTAATTTCAACTCTCAACTCGTGCGATGGTAATGTACAGTTGAGCGAAAGTTTCGGCTAAACACATAGATAAAATAATCATTTCTCATAATGATGGAGCCAAAAAATAAAAAGTGATAGTGATAGTGATAGTGTACCTACACTGTGAATGTGGTGAATTTCACATAAGCTTAAACTTTGAACTTAATGGATTCAATGCTATTTCACTTTAATATTTCTACATCAAAACGTGCCTAGTTAATTCAAAGTTTGAAATATAAGTACATACTACAATTGTGTAACTACAAGTACCCCTGTAGTGTTGAGCAATAAACGGTGTAACAAGTGGATTTCTGACTTTGACTTGAACACATTATCCGTTTAACGAGAGAGGTGCCTGGCACCTACCTAAATAAATTCTTGGTTCTCTGTTGCTCTGAGCCGAAACCTATCCACGTCCGCCTGTTGAAGTCTCGCTGGACATCTGTTGGTGGTCCCTCAGACCATCATCCAGCCAATACTACAATAGCGTTCCCAACTAAGGCCCAGTGTATGGTGTTGTTTGAGTGAACAGTTTGTAAAGTCATAATTTTAAATAGGTAACAATTCTCACCTAGTGCAAATTCTATAGTACCTATATACTGCGCACTTTATTATAAAAACACTTGCGTAGGTTTTGGACACATATGGACTTTGCAAAAACAAATATTAAGTTTTCTTTCATACAAAATAATGTAACTTAGATTTGAACAATCATTCAAATCATACTAATGCACTTTAATACCACTACTAAACTAAACTAAACTTAACTGTACTTAGACCGTACTTAACTGTACCTACTTCTGTAGTGAAATTTGAATTTAATTAATTTTAATTTTAACTTTAACATCTAAAAATGGCTTGCTTTAAAGCTGGCTATAAAATCGCATACTTACGTAAACACGAAATAACACACGTTCTTACCATTAAATAATTTGTTCGTTCATTTGTAAAGTAACAGTTTGCAAAAAGTGCTTATGCAAACAGCGGCACTGTCTCGCAGGGGTGGTTTGAAGCACGACTCTTTAGAGGAAATCAATACGTCATTAGAACTAATGGTCTGTATACATAAAGTGTAAGAGATAGAACAAGAACGTAATGACGAATTGACTTGTGCTGCCATTGCTAGATCGAGCTTGCGGTGCAAATATTGAAGGTGTCATTTCTTGCCCGAAGAGATAGAAGTTGTTCAGTTGCCTAAAGATAGTTGTCTATTATCTTAAATCGGTTGAAAGATGGAAATTCTGATTGTGAGGAATGTGATTTATAAAACTGAGAAAAGTTTCAACATTAACTTATTAAATTTAAAATATAAAAATGATACTTGTACCTGTACTTTTGTGACGCGTTTGGAGTAGCTGCATATAGCTAGAAACATCTCTGCAGACCGAATTAAGGGGTGCCCAAAATCGCTAAATATGGTGTTTTGGTTCAAGTTTTTAGGCGATAACACAGATTGTGGAACTTTGAAAATAGTACACCTGTAACATGTATCTTGAAGTGTAACTTGAAGGTCCTAAAATATTGCTTATTGTCATAGGTAATACAAAAACTGAATTACAGTGATACTCAGTGATTATTTTTTGACATATTTTTCTCGGGCAAATCAAACTTGCTTACTACCAAATTTGGTGTGGTTATTTAAATGGTACTTATCTTGAACCTGACGCTTTATTTGTTTTGATTAAAAGACAAGTAATAATTTTAGGAGTAAAAAGTTATTTTCGCCTACTAAAGTACGAGCTAAATATTTACTTGCAAATTATGGACAGGCACTTAACAGTGTGATTATTATCTTAAACAAAAAATGCGTAAATGAGTAAATACAATGCACCAATTCGTTGAAATCAAACCAATATATAACAAAACCGTCAAATTAGGTTTCTTTTTTGGTCGGATTAGAACTTAGCACATTGAATACAAAACAAAAATGAAATTATTGTTTGCGTCCTTGATTATTTAGTAAAATTGCAACGTTGCAAGCCTCTCTGCTTACGTAGCTTGCGTTCGTGGGATACGTAGCCAGACCTCACTCATCTGTTTTGACAAATTACAAATTAATGTTTAATTATTTAATTATTGTATTGTAATCGGCTGTCTACCGTCGAGCACGATACTTGCGAGATAGATTTTATACGCTTGGATATTTTTTGGTTTAAAATTAGTCTCAAGTGATTCAATTAGTTATTTTTTATAGTTGGTTTGATTGTAAGCAAAAAAATGGGAAACAAGAAAAGGCGTAAACCACGATTGTCAGTAAAGTTGATGCGGAAACGTATTTCTCGTTATGCAAATGCTGTTAGATTCCAAAAAATACAGCAAAATAGGAGCGATGCTGATGAGTAAGTACCTAATCACCATAGTAAAATACTTTTGTCTCTTATTTTACAGGTCTGTACTTTGTTGCTATTCAGTACGATATATCGCACTGCTATTACAATAGTGTTGTAACACAAAATATGTGAAATTTAATATTATTAAAAAATAAGAAATTATTTTTTCCATTTTATTTTTAAATATATTTGAGAAATTGTTTGTGTCTATTATAAAATATAACATACATACATTTTAATGATTTTTGATGGGAAGTGAGTAGATAATTCGTTTTTTATCGATTTTGAGAAAGTCCACTTTATGTGTTAATACACTATTGTATTAACAGTGCGATATGTATGTTAACGTTACGTTAATTTCAAAAACAACCTAAATTCCCACTGAGTATTTTTTCTGAAATGATCTAAGATTTTTTAATTCTGTGGTTGTACGTAATGCACTAGTAAAAATTGCCTTATTGTGTTTGTAGTATATACCTAATTTTATATCAATGTAATAAGTTCATATTTATTTGGATTTTCAGGCACTCTGCAAAAGCTAGCGAGACGAGTCCTGTTGCACAGAGTAGTGCGGACACAGAGACATACCTGTAAGGCACTATTTTTTAATTTATGTACTATTTCTTTTGTGATAACAGTGATGTCGTGTTTACAACAATATAGTATTATGCAGGGTAAACGTTGTTTCATTGATCCATCTCAATGAAACAACGTTTGATTATTTGACCGTTCACCCCGATATCTAGCGTCGTCGTAGTAGGGGAGCGGGCGAGTCACAACGACGTTTATTCGCTGGTCTACTACAATAACCTTAGGTGTTTTCTTGTGTTCTTAATGTTGTTTTTTATTTATGCACAAACTTACAGAGTAAAACGACGTCTTCGGTGGTAGTCGACAAATTTTTTATAAGTACATTAATTTTTTTAAATTAGAATTTTCTACGAATATGTATATAATATGTTCGGTTTATTATTTTTGTTTCAGTACTACCCCTATTCGTTTTGAGAATGATAACGATGATGTGTGTACTAGTACACCCAATGTCATTTTATCTACTGAACCTGAACCGTGAGTAGACACATAAAAAAATTTATATTTTATATTTTTTCGAAAGTAAGCAAAATCCATTATCATATTTATTTGAGAAAGACCTAAATATTTAGCTGCACTTGTGAGTTTTGTTTAAAATGTAGTCCACAACAACCTTCATAATTTTTTAATATGTTAAAATCGCGGAATGCACGTCATTGTTTATCTTCTTATGGTCCACCCCTTTGTTACACTTTATATATCTCTTGTTTTAAATTATCACAAATTTGTCAGCGTTCAAGACAAGTATCATTGTTATGGTCCTCTGAATTATGAATTAAAATCAGTGCAATTGATATCTGAAACTCGCACTGGTATTATTTCTCAATTCAAACTGAAATGTAATATGTGCAATATGACATTTTTAATCAATAATGATAATGAAATAGATTAATTAGATTTAAATACTAGTGCAGTGGCTGGTACTGTAACTATTGGGTGTGAATATAGTCAACTTACTTAGTTATCTGCGGTAATTGGATTTTCTCCTATGAGTAAAAAATATTTTAATCCAACATGACAAATTGCACTGTTAATACAATAGTGTATTAACTCAAAAAGGGGACTTTCTCAGAACCGATGAAAAACGAGTAACTTTTCCCGCAAAAAATAATTAAAATTTATGTATGTTAGTTTATTATAGACGCTTAAACAATTTCTCAATTATATTTAAAAATGAAATAGAAAAATGATAATAATAAATAAGAAATAAAAAATATTCCGCGTACCTATTACCAGTGGCAGAGCAGCGCGCATACCCCACCACTTAAAAAACATTTATTCAAAATATTCATTATTAAACGCGTAATAACTTGTCCCGATGCATCTCAACCAATCAGTGCGAGGTAAGCCAGTAGATCTGCGAGTTCTATTTCATTCATGAAAGCTACGCGCTCCCATCAAAATATGCGCACACATTCGCAAAAATCCGCTTTATAACATCCAAAGAAATGCCGGCCGAGAAGCCGCAATGGTTCGAGTTATTGTCGAATAGCGTTCACTTAAATTTAAACCTTACTCTAACAAATTAAACTATAATTTGTTGGAATAAGAGCTGGTGACAGGCTCCGTACCGAGACAGCCACAAATATGAAAGTTTCGTTTCAACTTATCACATTCTTCACAACAGAAAAAGCAGCATGTCCTTAGTGCAATAAGAAAAACGACGTTACAAGTCTTCTAGAGAGATGTCCCATTGATATGTTATGTAATCGATCACGCTGAAGCCAATGATGCAATAAAAACAAACGGGCATAACTCGCCTTATTCCGTTTTTCGCTGGAGGCACTAATATAATCTGTTCATTATAATGTACACTGGGCGTTTACGTGATCATTGCAATAATGTTGTCTGGGTCTGAACTACTTCACTTATTAAGTACATTTTAATGTACGCGGGGCCTTAGGAGGATAGATGCGCCCAATCTCACCCCGGGGAGACTTGCTCAGTAGTGGAGGATAATGCTACTTGTTTGCATTGTTCAGGTACCCATTTTGCTGCTGATGAAGCTGCTGCTCTTTTTACCAAATTACAAAAGACTTTATCTTGACAATTCCACTCACTGATTCCACTAATCACGAATCCAAAATTTTTGATCAAAGTGACAATAATGTGATATAATTGAAAGTGAAAACATAAATATTGACTCCCGCCGCTTAAAATACTATTTAGAAAACCCAAACAAAAAACTAAGTTATGTAAGAGAAAGTGAAAACATAATGTATTAGAACAACAATGGAAATTTATTGAAGTTCCCGATAATTAAACGAAGACATGCCTTGGATCCAAGCCAAAATTCTTCATAATTAATAAAATATCCGGACGCCGTCTACTGATTCCAACGCGCGTCAGGTCGATACATAGGATAGCGCGCGAGCAATCGAAACCAGCAGGTGTATTCCTTGTCAAATAGATGGCGCGTGTGTCGCCCTAACCACGTGCTAACAGAGCAAGGTCATTTCTCTATCCCGTCGCCTTAAAGCCGGGTATAGAAATAGAGACGAAATAAGGGTCATATATTCTGGTAACACATTAGCGATACAGCTCTTATAAATATCAACTCTCGTTTGCACTGAAATATAGACAGGCCAACTACTGACCTGTGTTTGTTGTAACAAAGATAATATCTCTAACAATGCCGTGCTATTCTATTCGGTGGTGTGGGAAACACAGCAAAATATCTAATTACAAAACAAACGGAATCATCAATCATCAATTTCATCGGTTATTAAATATTAAATATGTAATTTTGCAATTTTCGTCCATTATAGCAAAGCTCAAGTTAACTGGTCGATTTGAAGTGAAACAGTTGACGACACCCATTGACGACACCCGTCAATTGTTTCGAACTCGGGCTAGCCAATCGGAGCGCAGTTGTCACAGTAATGATATGACAGAATTGTTTTCAAACAAATTAAATGACTTTTCGTCTCTATTTCTGGTTATATACTCGATGAGGCCGGGTTTTCAGAGATTCTTGACAGACCAGCATTATCTGGGTTCCACTCCAATCGTGCTCGTTTGACTTCTTACTCAGTGGTGAAAGGCTTAAAAATGATTTTGATATACTGAACTTGTATTATAAATTGTTGCAGGAGATTCGTGCTAGGACTCAGGCTAAAAATGAAACTTTAGTGGTCTTTGTGTTAACAGTGCTAGGTATGTTCGAACAGCTGAATAAGGAAGTACTTGAAGCTGAAAAGCTTGAGCTCCTCATGCGTAACATTTGTCCTGAATATAGTAGATAATTAGCATTACATGATGTAACTACCATAAAACAGTTAAAAAGTTATTGTAAAAGACTTGAGTTGGCGAAGTTCAGAGCTGATCGCTTTTGCGAACCGTGCACTTCTCTGGCTGCTGCTCCAAGTTCTCCTACCAGTGACAGACCTACCTTGAGTAAGACTCAAGATCTAAACATCAAACTTCTAAATGAGTTTCACTCGAACACGCTATCCGTTTGACGAGAGAGGTACCTGGCACCTACCTAAATAAATTCTTGGTGCTCATCTTGCTCTGGGCAGAAACCTACGCCCACCTAACGAATCTCACCGAACAATAACTGTTGGTGGTCCCCCAGACCTTCACTCAGCCGATACTACACATTTAAATGATAAATCATCATCATCGGTATCCCATTAGTCGTCCCACTCCTGGGTAGTCTCCTCTAAGGAAAGAGTTTATAGGCTGTATTCCGACATGTTAACCCAATGCGGGTTGGGGACTTCACACATTATCCAAAGGGTTTGAACCTTCTTCGACGTGCAGGTTTCATCACGATGATTACCTTTCATCGTTACATAACTTAAAACAGTTATAGATAAGTATATGCCGCCTAGGGATTCGAACCGTCAACCTCTAAATTGAGAGGCACCCGTTCTCCCATCGCTTTACTAAATAAATAAGGCTAAGTTTAAATTACTGTTTTATATATTACATTATACGTATACACTATGTATATAATAATTACCTAATACTAAATAAATAATTGTAATATCACAGTCTAACATTCTTTCATTTATATTACAACCAGTCGGTTCTGCACAACTGCACACTCGGCGGGCAACGTATTTTCACGAGAGCGCCTGCTCTCGCTTAGGTGAAAATACGTTCGCTCTAACTATACGCTCAGGTTCCCTTTTCTTAGTAGTGAGCACCTGATGTCATTAGTCAGATTTTAGAGATAGTAATAGGCCATTATAACGTAGAGATTTTGTATGAAAGTAGTGTCGTGGAAAAATTTTCATCTTGAAAAAATCATATTTTCCCGGATGTTTTTCCAATAATTTTTCTTCAATTTTCTGCTGTGCTTAAATTTCTGTTCTGCTTTTAGCAAAGAAACATTAGAATATGATGATTTCTACAGAGCCATACCATAGCACTTACGAAACATTGCCAAAATCTTCCGCGGAATTTTGGCTCGTATCTAATTTGTACATTACACATTTGACCATAAAGTTTATTATGCTATGATACAATGTGGTTACAAAAATTCGCTTCCATTCCGTTCCGCCGCCATATTACATTGAGCCTAAATCGTTATTTTTTCCCCTATGGGCGTCGTTCAGCTATTGGCCGTTAGATTTAATTAACATTAATAACGCACACACTCAACATAGCCCCGCACTAGGGAAACACACATACACAATCACAAATGACACCCAAACTCATAAGAGAAATAAATGTAGACCATAAAAATATTTCTCCCGGCCCGGGAATCGAACCTGGGACCACTGCGTGGCGGCATGGTAACAGTTGCACATTGTTTGAAATTTTAATTATAGCCGCTTTGGCGAGCGGCTAGAGAGTACGAATCCTGGGAATATCCACAATATGGGGGTGGAACCCCAGCCGACGTCTAGTCCCCGGTGATGGAAGGCGAAGGTGAAATCAAATTGTGCAATTCCATCGCTCACTCTCCGAATTTATTCCGATAAGCAGGCAACTTTACGGCGGTGTTCAAGGCTCTGCTTCGCCTCTACTGATTTCGAGTCCCCTAAAGCAGAGGCTTTAGGGGACTCGAAACTGGCCAGTGGCCAGTTTTTTTTAAATGTTTTATAAAATGTAAGTGCGCATTTGGCCTCGCATCTCACCTGATGGAAAGTGACGATGAGGTCGACGATGGAGCATGCACACCTAAATAATGCCTATTCACTCTCGCCTTGAAAAGGCCCAAGCTATAACGTTCAAGGAACAAGTCTGCAGGCAAGGAAATCCACTCCATAGCAGTTCGCCATGTCAATATGGAAGCGTAACGCTTTGTGCGAATCTTTGGAATATCCACAACATAGGGGTAGAACCCAAGCCTACGCCTAGTCCCCGGTGATGGAAAGGGGAAGGCGGAATTAAATCGTGTAATTCCATCGCACACTCCGTGATATATCCTGTAACATACCGATCAGCAGGCAACTTTACGGCGGTGTTCAAGGCTCTGCAGCTTCGCTTCCACTAATTCCAAGTCACCTATAAGCCTCTTGGCACGATTGTCAATTGCATCCAATGTAGCCAGTTGGTATGTAGCAAAGCCATCCCAAAGGCGGCAGCAGTACTCCATGCACGACCGGACTTGTGCTTGGTGCAGCTGAAGCAACTGCCCCGGTGTAATGTAACGCCTCACACTGGACGGGATGCCAAGCTTCTTTGCTGCATTTTTTGCCATGGATTCAATGTATCTGCCGAAGTTTAAATTGGACGACAGGTCGTTTCCAAGTGGCTGGAGACAGTCGGCTATATCGGTATGAATATATCACGAAAAGTCGGAGTCAGTGGGTATTCAACAGAGCGATCCCATAAGTGGCAGCAGTAGGTACTCCGTATACGATCGGACTTGTGCTTGATACAGCTGAAGCAACTGTCCCGCGCTGAAGCAACTGAATCATAATCGCGTATTTTTTACCAACTAATAAACCTTTCGAGTCCTTTACAGGTGCCATGGTCACGTCACGGGACCTGCCAAGGATCCGAAACATTAGTTTGTTTAAACAAAACAAATACACTCGATTTAGGTCCGAAAAAAGTAGTGTCATTTCTTAAGTATGACAATAGCGGAAACCTTAGAGCTAGACGTGAATATGAAAATTTATAAATTGTAAGTATATTTTTCATTTACTCTTTCAGACGCAGCAAATGGCTTGAAGTTATAGGAAGGCCTGATTTAATGTCTATTCAAACAAAACCAAAGAGTCATACTGTTTGCTCGTTACATTTTGATAAAACCATGATCAAGAACTTACCACAGTTGAAAAGTGATGCTGTGCCCACTATATCACTTCCAAATGCACCAAGTACTTCTGATATCAACACTAATGCAAACTGTAAAGATGTATCAACTCAAACGGAAGAAGCGTTCATCGAAATTTTTTCTACAGTATCTATTAAGCGTCCTGGTTCAAAGTCTTCACGTGGACAAGCTGCATCGAGCAATGATATGGATAAAACTACACAAACATCACACACTCTTTTACCTACGACACCAATAAAACATAAGCTTCAAGGTGAGTATGAGGAGGCAGAACAACAAAGAAGAAGGCTCCAGCATGAATTAAATAAAATAATCAAATCATCTGAAAGCTTTAAATATTTTAGTTTCGAAAGTAAGAATGAAGTTTCCAAAATAATTCATGAACCTTCTTAGTGGAAAAGTAATTTAGAAACAACCGTAAGGGAAATCATTACGATCCGGAATACAAACTTTCTGGGTTATTTTCCTTTATTTCTTAAGATTATATTTAGGATACAAAGAAAACTTAAATTTTCACTTATCGAATCTTTAAATATACCTCCTAACCTCTATAGTGAATTCACCCTCCAAAGACTTATAATGTTTATTCCTCCTTAAGGTAAGTCACCGAAGGAGAAGCGGGAAAAACTGTTTTGCTAGATCAAATGGATTGGGTATTTACTATTAAATAACGATCTTCCAAAAAATATGCGATACTCCTAAAGATGAATGTCTAAATGAGTTAACTTGTTATACGATAGAATTTATTTTACCCGATCGTATAAAACCCCAATTCTGGCTATAATAAATGTCTAAAATGAATTATTTAAGAATGAAATGTCTAACTTTGCACATAATTTTTCTATTTTAAGCCGTCATCTTTTACGCGCTAGCGATCGGACGTGTTTTCGGTAACTCCGTCAAGAGCAATGACTCTAACGTGATTAAGTGTAATAATTGTAGCATTGTTATCTGTGAAGTGCTAGCTTTCATCCAGAACAAAGCGGATGTTATGGTCGTCCATGACATGAAAAAACAAAAACGCTATGATGCTTATAAAATTTTTGTACCACAACCCAAGTTAGAAACATTTCTCCGAGATGGTTTGTGGCCGGATGGAATAAAATTTAGGTTTATTAATTTTAATAGGAATAAATACGACCACAAAATAAACCATGATTATAGTGACGGGAACCACAATGAATTTAATAATGAACATAGAAGTAAAAACAATGAATATTCAAAACTATGTAGATAGTTTTAACTGTAAATCGGTCACTCGTTCAGTGGAGAGTGTACGAAAGTTTTGTATAACAGCTGAAGTTATGGCATTACAGGAAACGTGGTTATTGCCGCAGGATATTCCATTTCCGGAATTGATCTTGATTTTGAGTGTACAGGAAAGGCAGCAATCGATACAGGTAACGGTCTTCTTCGTGGAAGACTGTATAAGGAGGTGTCGCTTTTTTGTGGCGGAAAAGTGTATATACATAAATCGGTATCTGAAGTACAATGCAAAAGTGTTCATATAGCAGCGGTTAAAATTGTTTTATGAAATCGTGCGATTCTAGTTTTCTCAGTGTATATGCTTACAGAGGCGGTTGAGAACCTTACAGAGTTTACGGATTGTATGAGTGAGATTGCCGCAAGGATAGACTCGGTGTTTACTTTGGGAAACTAATGCAGACCGTAGCAGTCGATTCGGTAACGAACTAATGGGTTTTTGTACGGAACAGAGCTGGCGGTGTTTAGACTTGGATATATTGGGACTGTCTTCTGTCTTGGGCTCATGGTACTAGTTGGTTAGAGAATTGTGTAGTGTCTGACCACTTGCATTAGAAATATTTTGTAATTTTAATGTACTTAGTGATAACACTGAGTACGTACAATGTAAATACACCTAATAAAGTTACTTGGGAATAGAGAGATATAGGTACAAAACAAATAGAGTTATTATTATTTCCTTAATGGCGGCCACTGCGCTTGGGCCAGTGTCAGTTCCGAGGAATGCGGTCAGTTAATGTTGATCAACAGTTTCCAAGAGTGCAGACAGAGAATATTGGTCAAAAACGCCAACGTAAAGGCAGCAGCGGTATTTATTTTTGAAAGAATTAGACGTTCCAATTCAACTTAGCCTCTGCAATACACAGTCTTACAATATCTTCTCTATACTTCCTTTGAAGTTCGTGAGATACCGCCACTCGTGTAGGTACTTACGCTGCTGTACGTAGATGTGCAAGGGTTGTCACACAATGAAAAAAATTGTTATTATGGTAGTTTAAATGAATTTAACTATACTTGCATTAGGATGAACAATTTATTGTGTATTATGTATTGAAGCAGATAAAGAAAGAAACATTTATTCGGCTATTCACAAAGAATATTAGAACGTAATAAGTAGTAACTAACACAAGATCTGTTAAAAAACAAAAAAGAAGATAAGTAATAGATCAAAAACTACAGTATACACAATATTAGCCGAAAAGATTAGCCAGCTCAGCTTTATGTTGGGCAGAGCCTCAGTGCTGATTTTCAGCAGGAGCCTAAGAGAAGATCGTAAGTTTAAAACGGAAATAGCAGTGCATTTAATTTTTTTTTATATGCATCCATCCTTCGAAGAGTAAGCCACATCATACATGTTATTTAATTGTTTAATGTTTTTATTTTTCAAGTCAGGTCTTTGACAAGTGTCTATCCTTAACTACCACCTGGAAAGAAAAATATCCAATAAATAAACGTATAAAATATGAACTGATAATCTCGAAAAAACAAGATTGATTTCAGATTTCACACACACATTGCGTACATTAGTGGATCTTATTTCATTATTAAATACGGCTCACGTCGCGCGCGGGGCGTATTTATCTATAATTTTTAACACTCCCCATATAAAGACACTTAGTCGCATAGCAGCTCTAAGGCCATATTATTGTTACTTGCCAGTTCTTAAATGTCATGAAGTCGCACATGTGTTCGTGCGTGCACTACTATTTCAAAGCATAATTAATAATAATTACAAACCTATTATAACACCTATAAGTAACTTTTAAGAAAAGAAAGAATAAGAATAAGAATATATTTATTGCATAACTATAGGTAATTACATATGATCTTAAAATATTACATTGGTTTGTGCTCTATAGTTTACCAGATAAGGTGTACAATATTATTAAATGTCACAGATTAAAATTAAATTGAATTGAATTACAATATGAAAGAAAAAAAAAAACAATTATTAATAAACATGTCACAACGCTAGTCACCAAATTTGTCATTATCGACAAAAAACTCTTGTACACTATAATAAAGTTTAGTACTCAACCAGTTACTAAGAACATTTTTAAATTTTACATACTCGAATTTCTTAAATTCATTCGGGATGCTGTTGTATATCTTGACCGACATTACGTAAAAGCTTCTGTGGTAAAATGCTGAGGTATGATTGCCCGAGTAAACCATTCTATGCCCATGTCTTAAGTTTCTATGGTTCCTTTTATTAGCGATTTCAAAATAGGACGGATGTTTCTGGATAAATGCAGCAGCCTCCTTAATATACAGGCAGGGTAAGGGTAATATTTTGCACTTGTCGAAAAATGGCTTACACGAATCCATTTGAGACCCACCGCAAATAATACGTACACAGCGTTTTTGCATCTTAAATACCTGCATAAACTCTACAGAGTTTCCCCAAAAAATTATACCGTAGTTTATGGCCGACTGTATATACCCAAAATAAGCTGTTAAAGCCGCATCCACAGACGCATTCTGTACTAATTTTCGCAATGGGTACATAAACCGAGACAGTTTGTTACACAAGCTCTCAATATGTTCTTTCCAGTTGCAGTTGCTGTCAAGGATAAGGCCCAGAAATTTTGTATGTTTCACTTGTTCTATATTGACAAAATTAAAAGAAATGTTTAAGTCGATCGGTAATCTTTTGGACGAGTGAAATTGCATGATGTTAGTTTTTGCCAGATTTATACTAAGACCATTTCTATTCATCCATCCTATGATGTCACTTACAGTTTTATTAATGTCATATTCGTATTGCTCTTTTTCTTCGCACTTTATAACAGCAGTGCTATCGTCTGCAAATAATACAATTTGTTTACTAGTATTCCTTGGAAGATCGTTAATGTAAAACAGAAAGAGAAGTGGTCCCAGAATACTACCTTGGGGGATGCCTCTATTATTCTTCCTGTAGGCGGATCTACTACTGATCATGGTGTTCGTTTTATTACAAAAATATGTCACTTCGGTACATTGCTGCCTGTCAATTAAATACCTACCTAAATAAATATCTGCATAACGTATGTATTTTTGACGACATACGATAGAAGTTGAAGTAATCATTTCGGCTTCTTTTGATTTCTACGGCATAGATATTATATAGGTAAGGATGTAGGTACGTATTACAGTGTGATAGGAAAACTTAACTCGATAAAATCTATGAAATTTTAAATCCCTGTTGTATGTCGTTGTCGAATTACAACCGTACAACAGAACAATCGTGCACCATTATATTATATGCTTACTACAATTTTGGTAAAACTCACTCAACGTTTAATTATTTTTTTTTTATATCACGTTAACGCTTAGCGCTCGGCATGCAAACAAAGCGCGTCCGCTAGCAGCAGGCGAAGCCTCCTGAAAAAAATTGTGTAAATGGGCAACCTTGAATTGTGTTCATTGACTCCCATAGATTTAGGATTTTTTCGCTTTACTATCCTATATCTATGGACTCTCCTGTAAAATGTTGTCTGAAGCACTTACTAGGTTTTGCTTAAGGCAGTCGATTTCTCAAGTACCGTCCGTTTCCTTATATCAACAAAACAGATCAATGCCGAATAATACGAAATATTTTCTCAAACGTTTTTGGTTGGTTTAGACCAGGGGTTCCCAAACTTATTTAGTCTACTACCTACTTTGAGAATAAATTATATTTTAGCGCCCCCATTTTTTCACCTACTTAAAAATCACTATAACTTCAAATAAAGTTAATTATTGTATATTAGCGGAGATTAAACATTCATTCTAAACGAGTTTAGACTTTTACTATAACCCGCAAGAATTAACTTGAGACCTGAGCGCAGTAGGTAGTAGTCAACGGCGCTCAGGTCTCAAGTTAACTCTTACGGGCTACATCTGCCAATGGGAATGATTATTGAAACGCAACTTTATAGTATTCAGACAGAGTATCTTTTATTCAAAATAAAACAAACAATCGATTCTAATATAAAAACTAATGCGAAGGATGAATCTGATGCTGTTTAA